TTATGGAAAGCGACGTTCTAAAAACTAGTATTGGCTTCATACGGACAAAGAAAGAGTTCATGCTTTCATGATGGCATGAATTCTTAGGGAAAGTGATGCTCTAAAAACTAATATTGATGGCATATGGACAAAGAAAGAATCCATGCTATGGAAAGCATCCATGCTATCATGATGGCATGATTTTTTATGGTAAACGATGCTCTAAAAACTAGTATTGACTTCATATGGACAAAGAGAGAATCCATTCTATGGAAAGCATCCATGCTATCATGATGGCATGATTTCTTATGGAAAGCGATGCCCTAAAAACTAGTATTGACTTCATATGGACAAAGAAAGGACCCATGCTATCATGATGGCATGAATTCTTATGGAAAGCGATGCTCTAAAAACTAGTATTGACGGCATATGGACAAAAATTAAGAAAAAAGAATCATGCTATCATTATAAAACTTAATAATTTTTTTAGTAGAGTTTTAAAATTGTTGAAATGTCAAGATAATCGTAGTTACATATACCAAATTATTGAAACAAAATAAGAGTAAGATTTTATTTAACCGTTTCAATGGAAAAGAAAAAAACAAAGTCATCACTACAAAGAGACTATGGAAAACGATGCCCTAAAAACTAGTATTGACTTCATATGGATAAAGAAAGAATTCATGCTATCATGATGGCATGAATTCTTATGCAAAGCGATGCTCTAAAAACTAGTATTAACCGCATATGAGAAAAAAAAAAAATTCATGTTATCATTATAAAACTTAATAATTCTCTTAGTAGAGTTTTTAAACTGTTGAAATGTCAAAATAAACGTAGTTACATACACCAAATTATTGAAACAAAATAGAGTAAGATTTTATGTAACCGTTTTGATAGGAAAGAAAAAAAAAACTAGTATTGACTTCATATGGACAAAGAAAGAATCCATCCTATGGAAAGCATCCATGCTATCATGATGGCATGATTTCTTATGGAAAGCGATGCTCTAAAAACTAGTATTGACTTCATATGGACAAAGAAAGGATCCATGCTCATGATGGCATGATTTCTTGTGGAAAGCGATGCTGTAAAAACTAGCATTGACGGTATATGGACAAAAAAAAAAAAAAAATTCATGCTATCATTATAAAACTTAATAATTTTTTAAGTAGAGTTTTTAAATTGTTGAAATGTCAAAATAAACGTAGTTACATATACCAAATTATTGAAACAAAATAAGATTAAGATTTTATTTAACCGTTTCAATGGAAAAGAAAAAAAAAAGTCATCACTACAAAGAAATTATGGAAAACGATGCCCTAAAAACTAGTATTGACTTCATATGGATAAAGAAAGAATTCATGCTATCATGATGGCATGAATTCTTATGCAAAGTGATGCTCTAAAAACTAGTATTGACGGCATATGAGAAAAAGAAAAATTCATGTTATCGTTATAAAACTTAATAATTTTCTTAGTAGAGTTTTTAAATTGTTGAAATGTCAAAATAAACGTAGTTACATACACCAAATTATTGAAACAAAATAAGAGTAATGTTTTATGTAACCGTTTTGATAGGAAAGAAAAAAAAAAGTTAGGTCTGCAAAAAAATTATGGAAAACGATGCTCTAAAAACTAGTATTGACTTCATATAGACAAAGAAAGAATTCATGCTATCATGATAGCATGAATTCTTTCTTTGTCCATATACCGTCAATATTAGTTTTTAATAGAGGTACCAATAATAATAGCATGAATTAATGGTTAGATTAAACACAAGTGCAATTAATAACTCTTTACTCAATAGGATTCATCATGACATGTTTAGAAGTATATAAACAGATACAATTAATGGTTCATACTCAATGACATAACTGGCATTCATGTAGCTGATGGTGCAAAACT